TCAATTAGTGGCGTATAATGAATCATATAAGAACTTTTATCCTTTGTTTCAGTGTCGATTGAGAATAATTTAAAATAAATTATTTTGTGGATGCAAATAAATTCACGAAGAGCAGAGATGAAGATGCTAAATACATAAAAATCAACAAAAATGACGGTAAAATAACAACAATGAAAATCACAAAACAAAAACAAATACATTTTTTTAATTTAGAAGAGGTGGGGGGGGTTATCTATACAATTTTTGTTTTTATTAAAGGGTGGGTCAAGGTTCGTATTCGTCGAGTTATCAAAAATTTATTCAAAATATCCTTCAAAATAGTTCAAAAGAGAGGAAGGGAGGAGGAGGTTCAGGAAGAGGAGGAGGAGGAGGAGGAGGAGGAGGAGGAAGGGGGGGGGTTCAATAAAGGGGAAAGGAGGGGTGTGTGTGGGGGGGGGAAGGGCAGGGAATATAAGGGGTCTTTGAGCACATGTATAGTTTTAACAAAGATAGGGGGGGGGGAGAAGGGGGGGAGGGGGGAATTGTTCGTGCCAAGTTATAAGGACAACGAGGTCTATACAACACCAAAAGATTTTTTTTTTTATACACTTAGCATACAAAAAAAGCATCGCACTTCCATGCATATCATTAAAGTCGGAATGGCCAATCTGGTCGTGAACTGTCCAGGATTCGGGTTCTGATCGACTTATATCTTAGCACTGAACAGCACTACACACAATATCAATAAATATAAACAAAAACTGTTTTTGTTTTGTTTTTTTATAATTATCTTTCTCTCGCTCGCTCGCTCGTTCTCTCTCTCTCTCTCGCTCTCGCTCTCTCCCAAGTAACTTCTACAGCGAAAGTGAACCTTAGCGTCTGATTCCACAAGGGTCAAGATACACAGGCATGACATTGGAAAGTGACTCTTACCAGCGTGGTTCCCGTTCGCTGAGGATGCCACGTGTACAGATGCAAATAATGACCGTATACATGAGGTTGTGACAAGTCCGGGTAGTAATTCTCAAGGGATTATAGCTCTTTCTTCACGCGACTGATCAGCATTATAGAGTTGTACCATGTTCATGAGTTTGTTCACAGTGCACACAAAGGGAAGAACAAAATGGTATTTATATACATACGTACGCGTGTATATATACATATACATAAATATAAATATATGTATCGATATATACATATATAGATCTATATATATATATATGTATATGTATATACATATATACATACATATATATATATATATATATATATATATATATATATATATATATATATATATATATATATATATACGGTATATATGTTTTTTTGTGCCCGCGATGTGCACAGTTTACAAGAAAAAGGAAATAGAAAGCAAATGAGATGACGTCACAAAAGTGGTGTTCAAGACCGAGCTGCCCTTTTCAAGATTGAGACATGTTCTCCGCCCTCTGACGCGCCCCTTCCGTTGTTCCATTCATGAATAGAACAAGAACAAGAACAAAAAGAAGAACAAGAAGAACAAAGAACAAAAAAAAAAAAAAAATGTCGCTGGGGAATATACAGATGAGAGATTCAGTTTAGAATATACAATTATTTTCATTAACGAATGAAAGAAAAAGAAAATATAAAATCGAATTGATGTTCCTTCCTTTTCCCCTTTGCTCTCTCTCCCATTAAAAAATAATAATAAAATAAATAATAATATTAATAATATAATAATAATAATAATAATAATAATAATAATATAATAATAATAATAATAAAAAGAAAAACCAAGAGAGCAACAAATCTAATCCTCCAATGCACAGAAAAAATAAAATAAAATAAAATAAAAATAATTATATATATATATATATATATATATATATATATATATTATATATATATATATATCTTTTTTTCTCTCTCTCGCCCAACACCTCCGTCCTTCGCGCGAGCACTTCAGTCGAGGTCACTGCGCCGGCGACCTAGCTTCTGTGGGACGCCGTTGAAGGGGCGGGGGGGGGGAGCACCGACTGATGTGGGGAAGGAAGGGGGGGAGAGGGAGGAAGGTGGGAGAGGGTGAAGAAGGGGGAGGGGAAGGGAAGGAGAGGGGGAGGGAAAGGAAGGGAGAGGAGGAAGGGGAAGAGGGGAGGAAACTGGGGGAAGGGGGAGGGGGGGAGGAAAGAAGGAAGGTTGGGGAATGGGAAAATCGGCGCCATTTTCGAGACGAACTTATCAATCAAAAAAAGAAAAAAAAGAAAAAAAGAAAAGAAAAGGAGGAGCCCTTAACCACCACCCTCAAAAAAGAAAATAATAAATAAAAATATAATCATAATAAATAAATAAATAATAATGCTAACAATTGTGCTTCCCTCCCGCGTGGCGAATCGGCGGCCCAAGCACCTGTTCAACGGGCGTTCAAACAGCCTCGCTTGGCTCCCCAGATGAGAACAGCGGCGTCTTGGAGAACAGGTCAAGACGTCTCAGGGTGATACTTGAGTAATATTTTAAACTAAGAGAGACAATTTAAAAAAAAAATGAAACATAATTATAGAAACAGTTATGATAATTATTATAATCATTTAATGTCATTGATAATAACATTTAAACTTTGTACATACAGTAAATGAACAACAAGGATGTGAGAAAACAGCCTTAACGATGTCTTTCATACAGAGTCACCATTATCCCATAACATGAAGGAAAAGAAACAGCGAAATCGTCCAAATAACTTATTTTACACGCTAATAAAAATCTCTCTCTCGCTCTCTCTCTCTCTCTCTCTCTTTCGTATATAAGTCAAAAAATGGATGTTATGGAACAACGCTGTAAACATCACTCTCTCATTCTCTCCTTTACACATTTGTATGCTCCTGTCCGCAAGTATCACATGAACTCGACCCCAACGGCGTCTTGAAGGATCTCCACCACTCGCCAGCGGCCTAACGGTCCTCGCTCGCTCGCCCTGTGATTGGTTGGCGGGAATTCAAATTTTCGAAACGGGCGAGCGGGCCAACGGTCGCTCTTTGCCCGGGTGAATCAACATGGTGTAAAAAAAAATAAAAAAATAAATAAAAATCATGCGTTGCTATTGCTTTGCCAAAAAGAAAAAGAAAAAAAAAAAAGAAAGAAAAAAAAATACTTGATTTGCGGAACAACTGTCATGTACAATTCTTATCTTAATATTCTTTTTTTCTAATTTATTCACAGGTGCTTCGAGGCGATTAGGGTTGGCGAGGTGGACACTCTTACAAGTTCACGCTGAGATGAAGTAGAAATGAGTGTGAGCTGCGACTAGGTGTGTACAGAAACGGGAAGCAAGATCAGGTTGGTGAAAGCAATTGTGCACAATATATACATATCAACCTGTCCGGTGCTACAGCTCTTAGAAAGTCTTTTTTTTTCTCTGATTCGTAACTACAATTTTTTTATTACGTATGAGAGAACACAAACAAGCTTATTTTCCGAGCATGTTCATATTCGTGACGTATTATTTTTTTTTTTATACACTCTTGAGCCGACACACAGAAAACGGTGAATGCGAAACGGCAAAGTGTTGCTGTCTCTCTTTTTTCTCTTATATATATTTCTTCTTTTTTTTCAGAGTTTCTTGTAAAACACAAAAAGCCTTGCGAGCACTTTTGGTGTGGTTATATTTTTTTTCCCCTTTTCTTTAAAAAAATTTCCTCCTTTATCAACCTTTTCATCACTTCTGTTTTCCTCATTTGACTAGCGCAGTTTTGTCCGATGAACGAGGATATATATTCAATTACTCCGTAGAGACGAAAATCTAACTGATCACTAGAGCAATTGTTCCTTATGGCACACCAAAACAGGAAGAGTTTTCCGTCACTGTACATGCAATGGTTGATGAGTCTCCCTAAAATTCCTTAAACTTTCACAAAAGGGTTAGAGTCCGTAATCTCACACAGTAGCCTTAAAAATATATTTACAAGATAATATTAAATGATGTAGACGGAGAGCCTTCCAACTCTCTCGTCCTTGTAATGCTTTACATATCACATAACAGAGCCTTAAGAGAAAACATGACAAGTCCTTGCTTCTGTTTGCGAGAAAATCTGACGTCGGAACGCCCCTCTGCTTTCCTCGGCTTTGGGGGGGGAGGGGGGGCGGTTCTTGCGCGTCGCTTGATGCTTGCTGGATGACTATTGGTGGCTGAGTTTCCTGGCTATTGATACGGTTAACGGACTGCGTGGTTGCTGGTCTTCCGGAGTGGGGGGGGGGGTGGGGGGGGAGTTGCAGGTCGTTAGTGTTCGGTTTCCACGGAGAGGGTTACTCACAACGGCTCTATGACTCGCCTGACAAGTCTTCGTGTTACCATCGCTGCAGTGGGCGGCGCGGGAGCGAAGGAACGCGGGTCTCCCGACGAGCGCTTCTCCGCTGCCCTGCGCCCTCCCTGGCGAAGGGCTTCGGCTCCAGGGCGCGCCGGGCCGGATCCTCGCCATGGCGCCGGAGGCGGGCTCGGTCGCCACGCCTTCGTCTCCCTCTCTTCGGGCCATACAAGTGCGGCGCGGCGTCGCAGGAGGTGTAGGGTGTCGCCGCGAGGGGCTTCCCGCGCGCGCCCCCGCTGCCTGCACGAGCCACGGCGGCCGGCGCGGCACCTGCGGTCACCCGCTGGCGTCCGCCTCCGCCGCGGCTCGGGATCAGAGCTGCGGCCGCCAGCGGGGGTGCGCCTGGCCGCCCGCCCTCCGCAGCATCGGCGGCGGGAGGGCCTGGGAGGGCGACGGATGCTGCATCTGCATGCGCGGAGGCAGCATCGAGAAGAGCTGCGCCGAAGACTGCGGCGCCTGCATCTGCGCTCGGTACGGCAGCTGCGAGGGCATCTGCTGCGGCGCGCCGTACTGCTGCAGCTGGCTGGCGAACTGCGGCACCTGAGATGGAACTTGCGGGATCGACATCGGCGGCTGCAACATCTGCGGCGGCATCTGCGGCCCCTGCGGCAGGAAGTGGGATGGCCCCTGCGATGGTAACTGAGAGTGTTGTTGGTGTTGCAGCGAAGGAGGCTGTGGTGGTCATGTACGCCGCCTCTTTCGCCCCCTCCCGGCCGCGTCTCATCGGTCCTCCATGGTCAGCGAGTCGGGACTGCCGTAGCCGCTGGAGGCGTCGTCGGCGGCCACCGCGTGGTTGGAGCTGTTGGGCTGCGCGGGCGCGGAGGTGGCGGGGGCGCCTTCAGGCCGCTCCCGCCCCCCGCCGCCCTCGCCCAGGTGGTGGTGGTCTCCCAGGCCGCGATCGCTCACGCCCCCGGGGAGGTGGAGGCCCGACGTGCCCGGCCCTCCGCCGCCCAGACCCAGGCCGTTCATCATCATCTGCTGCTGATGCTGATGCGGGTGTTGATGCTGCTGCTGCTGCTGCTGCTGTTGCTGTTGCTGCTGGTGGGGGGTGGGGCCGAGGGGGGGAGCGGCGCCTCGTTGAGCCATGTTGGATTCCTCCGGGGGCTGCTGGGGTGGAGAGAAGAAAGGGAGGTTAGGATGCAATTGGCCACCGCGAACGGGCTGTGAAACGACACAAATTAATTATCATTATCCCTAAAGAATCCAATCGCTGCACTGACACCCACAGCGACAACACACCACACGGGAACACAGTACCCTAAGAACATATTCTCAAGAGGGAATAATCTAAAAATAAAAAAAAAGAAATAAAAAACACGAGAAAATATAAATTCTCGCGCATATTCAGATCTCCCTCTCCCTCTCTCTCTCTCGTTCCCTCTCTCTTACCCACATCTGCCAATAGAAGTGTGCAAAGCGCCCGTGGATCGTGTGGCGTGCCAATGTGTTTATTAAACCAACAAACTATTTATATTATCTACAACCCTCTCCCTCGCCCTCTCCTTTTCCCAATCTCCGCATTCTTAAATGAAGCTAAATCTAAAGTCATCTTCTGGTTTTCATTCAGACTGCGGAAGTGCGGCTACTTTTTTCCACTTAATATTGGAATGCAGGAATCCGGGAGAGAGAAGGAAGGAGAAAAAAGAGAGAGGGAGGGAAGGAGGGGAGGGGAGAAAGGGGAGGAGGGGTGGAGGGAGAGGAGAGAGAGAGGGAGGGGTGGTGGGAGAGAGAGAGAGAGAGAGAGAGAGAGAGAGAGAGAGAGAGAGAGAGAGAGAGAGAGAGAGAGAGAGAGAGAGAGAGAGAGAGAGAGAGAGAGAGAGAGAAAGACGAAGATGAAAGAGAAGAGAGAGGAAGACGAAGACCAAAAGAAGAGAAAACACAGAGAAGAAGCAAAGAGAAGAGACAGAAAAGAAGAAAAAGAAGATATTCGAAGCAGCCGACACACACACACACTACAAGAGGCATACCAGAAGATGCGGGGTGGGGGGGGGGGGGGGCTTACCCAGGTCAATGAGGAACTCTGATACAGATCATTAGAATTAATCAACCCACTTGAATAATAAAAATCATCAATCTCCTCCAGGCATGATGATGAGGCGAATTTTAAAAAGATAACAATAAAAACAACAGAGGTACTATAACTACTACTAATTACTATTACTACTACTTTTCCTACTCCAACTATTACCATCACTACTACTACTACTATTACTACTACTACTACTATTTCTACTACTGCTAACTACTGCCACTACTATGACTACTACTACTCTACTAATGCCAAAGATAAGAGATTACTCATGCTACCCTTTTTCCCCTTGAGAGATAAGGCATTCTCAAAGTCAGGCAAGAGAAATGCTTGTTTTTTTTTTTTTTGTTTGTGTGTTTGCGAGAAAGAGAAAAAGAGGGGGGTGGGGAGAAGGAAGGGGGAGGGGATGGAGGGAGAGGGGGAGGGAGAGGGAAGAGAGAGAAGGAGGGATGGAGGGAGAGGGAGAGGAGAGAGGGAGGGAGAGGGAGGGAGGGATGGAGAGAGAGAGAGAGAGAGAGAGAGAGAGAGAGAGAGAGAGAGAGAGAGAGAGAGAGAGAGAGAGAGAGAGAGAGAGAGAGAGAGAAAGCGAAACCAACAGACAGACAAGACAAGAAAAAAGAGAGGAGAGAAAGGGAGGGAGAAGTGGGAAGAAAGAGAAAAGCAAGGAGAAAGAAAAGGGAACAAGATCCAGAACGAGAAAGCGAAGAAGATACACGGAGACATACGGACGAACCGCGAGAAAAAAAAAAAAAAAAAAAAAAAAAAAAACGAGTCATAGAAGGTGGACTACCCACAGTATATATTATATTATATATATAAAAGACACTGCCACTGTATAAAAAAACGTAGCCAATACGCCCGCACGATACGCAAGGTCGTGCAAAGTGGGCATACGGGGGCTGTGTACGTGGGGTGGGTTTGGAGGGAGGTGGGGGTGGGGGAGGGAGGTGGAGGTGGGGGTGGGTGGGGGGTGGGGTTGGAGCGAGGGTATAGGACTTCGAGTGGGATTCTGGGCGGGCCGAGGTGGAGGTTTGGGTAGGGGGGGGGTGGAGGCCTATTCGTTTGAGGGGTGGGGGGGTAGGGTGGAGGGAGTGTGGAGGCCTATCTCTCAGGGTGGATGGATGCATGAGTGGGTGGGGGGCATGGTAGGAGAGGGGGTGAGGGGAGGTGGGGGTGGGATGGGGTTGCGTATAGAAAGCCTAGTGGGGGATAGGGGAGAGGGAAGGGGAGGAGGAGGAGAGGATAGGAAGGGGGGTGGATGGCATGAGGGTAGGGAACATGGGGTAGGAGGTTGGTATAGAGCTTAGTGGGGGGATAGGGGAGAGGGGAAGGGGAGGAGGAAGGGGAAGAAAAGGGAGGGGGGGAGGGGGGGGCTGGGATGTATTTACCAGGGCGCCACACATTTAAGACCACTGTAATTGCAAAATGGAAGATCAACATTGGTGCTACAGCCAGAAAAACCCTGATCACTAATTGGAAAGTGGTACGTATGACCCTGTCCAATTAAATTAATGAAGCTCAATCCAATAAATGGTCCCTGGTGCGGGGGGAAGGGGGGGAGAGGGGGGCAACGGTGACTGTTGCTAGTGGTTGTGTGTGTGCGTGCGTGCGCGTGTGTGTGAGTGCGTGTGTCAGTGAGACTGATGTGTGTGTGCGTGTGTGTGTAGTGTGTGTGTGTGTGTGTGTGTGTGTGTGTGTGGTGTGTGTGTGTGTGTGTGTGTGTGTGTGTGTGTGTGTGTGTATGTGTGTGTGTGTGTGTGTGTGTTGTGTGTGTGTGTGTGCTGTGTCACTGAGAGAACGAGAGAGATAGCTGTGTGTGTGTGTGTGTGTGTGTGTGTTGTGTGTGTGTGTGTGTGTGTGTGTGTGTGTGTGTGTGTGTGTGTGTGTGTGTGTGTGTGTGTGTGTTGTGTGTTGTGTGTGTGCGTGTTGTGTGTTGTGTGTGTGTGTGTGTGTGGTGGTGTGTGTGTGTGTGTGTGTGTGTGTGTGTGTGTGTGTGTGTGTGTGTGTGGTGTGGTGGTGTGTGTGTGTGTGTGCGTGTGTGTGTGTGTGCGTGTGCGTGCGTAGTGTGGCATGTATGTAGTTGTAGCGACGACTGCTGTAGTTTGTATGGCCATGTTGTCGTTGTTATTAAGGTGCTTTTTACAATTGTTCACGGTCGGTTGCACCAGAGATGTTCTGTGAACCAATCTCTTTTTAGAATGATGTTTTGAATAAGCAGTTGTCTGGTAGGCTTTGTTGTACAATAAAAAAAATGAGAAAGGGAGAGGGAGGGGAGAGGGAGGGAGGGAGAGGAGAGGGAGGGAGGAGGGAGAGGGAGGGAGGGAGGGGGAGGGGAGAGGGAGGGAGGGAGAGGAGGGAGAGAGGGAGGGAGAGGAGGGAGGGAGAGGGGAGGGAGGGAGGAGAGAGGGAGGGAGGGAGGGAGGGAAGGGAGGAGGGAGGAGGGAGAGAGAGAGAGAGAGAGAGAGGAGAGAGAGAGAGAGAGAGAGAGAGAGAGAGAGAGAGAGAGGAGAGAGAGAGGAGAGAGAGAGCGAAACAACAGACAGACAAGACAAGAAACAAAGAGAGGAGAGAAAGAAACAGAAAAGGACGCAAGAGCAGGACCTCAAAGACCCCGGGGGAATGGGAGGGAGGGGGGGGGGTGGGGGTGCGGGGGTAGGGGAAAATTCTTATTGCGTCTTAAGGAATGTTTTGGGTTTGGAGTAAAAATAAAGATAACGATACTAAACATGAATATCAACAATATATCAATAATAATAATAATGATAATATTCAAAATACAAAACGAAATAAGTAAACAATAAATGAATAACAAAAACTTGTACATTAATAAAAACAAAGAATAATAACAATGAACACAATAATAATAATAATAATAATAATAATAATAATAACAAAATGTAACAAATATTGTCCGCTATACTCGAGGTGCCAGATACTCTTTTTTCAGACCTATGGTGTTAGCCCAAAAAAGCGTGTTAGTTAGCGAGTGCATTGGATAGTGGTCCGTATTCCCAGTAATAACAAGGCCCCTTTTTGCACAGCGAGTGTATAATCATAAACACTGGCGGTGATGAAATGTAAAACATATTTAATTGTTTGCTGTCCATTCAGCTGATTGGTGTAGAGAGTAACTAGCGTCAATAATTATTGGTGTAAACAACAGGCCGGTGTATGGACGCGTGTTGTGTGCAGTGCAAGCGTGTATGCAGAGCCAGAAGCCAGAGCTAACAGGGAAGGAATGCTAACAGTTAGCGCATAGCAGTTAGCAGTTAGCGGTTGGAAATCAGCAGTAGGCGGGTAGCAGTTAGCAGCTGGTAGTTAGCAGTTTTGATCATTATAAAGGAGGGTATTAGTGGCATAAGCTACGCATACTCAGACGAGAAGTAGCGGTACAAGACTAATTAGCAGCTAGCGGAGGCGGAAAAAAGCGCTAATTAGCTAAAAAGTCTAAAAAAACAAGACAAAGGAATGAGGGGGGGGAGGTAAAGGGCGGGGGGATGGGGGATGAGGGATGGCAAGAGCAGCAGTGTTGACAGTTAGCAGTGTATTATTATTATTTTTTATCATTCTATTGAAGAGGAAATAACAAAGAGGTGACAACAGCTTGAGTGGATTAGACTAACAAAGAGAGAAAGTTAGAGCAGTGTTAACAGTTAGTAGCCGCCTGACTGACCTGGCACCATCACGACGTTAGCATTTCAGGCATGTCCTTCAATGGAACTTTACTGGTCCCGTTCTGTAACGAAAGGGGACGGGTTAACTCTCCTTTGCCCTTCGAAGGAAATTAAGCTTTTTTTTAATTTTTGTAATCTTATGTTTTTATTTTTTTTTTTTTTTTTTTTTTGAGTGTCTTATAAGCAAAGCTTTCAAAAGGGTGAAAAGGGTGTGGAGTAGGCTAAAAGATTGGGGGGGAGAGGGGGGGAGGGCGTTGCGGGCGGGGAGGGAAGGGGGGGGGCGTGTCGAGGTTAACTTTTATTTATTTATTTATTTATTTTATGATTTCAGAGCAAAATTAACGGAAAGTTTTTTTTTTCGTTAGCGAGAGAATCTTTAACGAAGTACTTTGAGTATTTATCGTTACGGACTCTAATGATACTAATATACTTTTGAAAATCTTGTAACCTATACAAACACGCACGCGCGCGCACACACACACACACAGACATACATATATGTTCCATAAAAATTGTTTAATACTCTGCTCCAAATATTATAATCACTACATATATGCATTTTTTTTACACATTAATAAACATATGCTATAGAAGACGAATGAAAATACAGCATCAAAAGCAAGAGCTATCTTCAGTCTATCAACGATCTCTGTCTCCCTGTTTGTCTCTCCCACTCTCTCTCTCTCTCTCTTCCTCTCTTCTCTCTCTCTCTTCTCTCTCTCCTTTCTTCCTCTCTTCTCACCTCGTTTATATATAATATTTTTTTTGCAGACAACTACGCAAACTTGAAAACATGGTGCAAATATCTCGCTTCTTTTACCCCCCCCTCTCCCCCCTCCCCCCTCCCCCTTTGGCACTTAAAACCCCCGAGAAAAAGACCCCCCCCCCCGGGGGTGCACAGGAACAAGGTTAATAATAAAAAAAAACATTAGAAGGAAACAAAAACAAAAACAAACATAAACACTACACTAAGACAAAACCAAACCCTCGTTCTTTCTAAGTGGGTTGTTAGTACTGTACTACCAATGGGCCAGTTATGCCGGCGGACTGGCGAAGCGAGCCCACAGGGCCTAAAACGTGCAAATTTAAGTGTCGACTGAGGTTAGGGTGTTAAACTGGCGACGCAGCCCCTCGTTTGGCACAGGGGGAGGGGTGGGGGTGGGGTGGGGAGGGTGGGGGAGGGGAGGTGACTGTGACGGGCCGGTGGGTGGGGGTGGGGGGCTGTGACTGGCCTATGTCTGGGGTGGGTGGGTGGGGCGGGGGGGGTGACTGTGACTGGCCGGTGTCTGACTGTCTGTGGTGTTCAAGTACCGAGCAAATGCGGGTGAATGGAAGGATGGGGAGAGAACAAAACAAAAAAAAGTGATAAAAGATTTTAAAAAAAGATAAAAAAGGAGAGGTAGCAATAGAAAGGAAAATAGTTTACCAGAACCCTAATAGAAATAAAATAAAATTATTCGAATAAACAGGACACACGTACTTTATAATAGTTTCGGTGATATCAATCTTTACATCTTTGAACAATCTGATCGTAAATGACAGCTGGGACCCTGACACAAATTTTAAAACCTACTAATGACAGGACATGAAAGGTGACAGTCATACATACATACATATCCCACACAAGAGGAGAGAAAAGAGAGAAAGCAAACACGAAATATCACACACACACACACAACAGCACAAACACACACACACACACACACACACACACACACAACACACACACACACACACACACACACACACAACACACTACATACAGCGGTCATGATATCAGACATACAACAGACAGGAGACAGACAGGGCGACTGACAGGAAAAGGGAAAGGGAGGGAGGGAGGGAGGGGGGGAGGAAGGGAAGCTGGAAAGTGGGAAAGGACAGACAGACACAGACAAGGAGAACAGACAGTCGATAATGAGGATAAAGATGTCCACAAGAACACCAGTGAAGTAAATGAGAAGTAAAAATGAGTAAAAGTGATGTTAATGAGGACAAAATTAAATCATTATGTAGAAAATGACGATGATAATAATATTGTAAATGATAATGGTGTTTATGGTAATAGTAATGATGAAAATGACAATGAAGATTATAATAATCATCCTAATAACAAGAATAATAAAAATGATGGTAAGAATAACAATAGTAATGATAACAATTATGACAATGACAATAATGACAATGATAATAACAATAAAAATAATAACAATAGCGATGATAAAAATCACAGAATAAAGAAGAGAAGTGAAATATACGAATAAAAGAGAACGAAGAAGACACCAGAAGAACAGAGAACGAAGAACACGACAACCAAGCTGGGCATCAGGAGGGGGGAGGGGAGGGGGGGTGACAGGAGTGTTCAGCCACGGGTGGGTAGGTGGGTAAGCAAGTGGGCAAGTAGGTGGATCCTTGGGTAAGTGAGGTAGCTAGGCAACAGGGACAGGTATAGGTTGAACAAGTGGAATAAAATATATATATCTCCACATATATATATATCCTTTTTTTTTTTTTTTTTTTTTTTTTTTTTTGTTAAAAGTGCCTGACTGAACAAGAGGCTTCGGTGGCAGTGCGCTTTTGAACGAACGCTACCTGCAGGTCACTAACTTGTCGCTTGATGTGTGCGAGCGAGTCTGACGAATAGGACATGTTGGCGAACACCATCCTCTCCTCATAGTCGTATTCGCAGAGGATTTTGTTGTCGCAGAGGTAAAAGCGGTCGCCCACGCAGAATCTGTGGCGGAGAGGGAGAGAGAACGGGGAAAGGGGGGTGAGTATGGCCAGTGCGGATCGTGGTAGACTTAGGAGGTAAAAAAAAAAAAAGGGGGGGGGGGTGAATTTGGCCCATGTTGGGGTTAAAAGCTTAATATTGTGGCCAAGGTAGACCGGATTGGACTTAAAGCTTAGAATATTGTGGCTAATGTTGACCGGATTGGACTTAATACTAGAAATGGTATGGTCAATAAGGAGTAGATTAGACTTAAAAGCTTAATTTTGTAAACAGTCGATAAGGAAGAGATTGGACTTAAAGCTAAAAGTTGTAAATATGGCTACTGATTGACAAGTTGGACTTAGAAATAAATAAAAAAAATGGTACGTATAGCCAATAAGAGACAAATTGGACAAAAATTTGGATTAAATTGATAAAACATGACGAATGGAAAACAGATTTCCCTTTGCTAATATGAAGCTAAGTGTGATCAGTATGGCCAAAGACCAACAGATTGGACTCTATTGACCCAAAGGTAATTACGGCATTGATTGATATAACACTTAATATGATATACCCAAAGATGTATACCTATGTATTGTTGATCTACTGTGATGACTATACTTGACTTATGAACTAAAATTTACTTATGCTAAATATAACAGATAAGAAACACATTAGATAATTGTTTTTTAGAGTTAATATACTAAAAACTACTTATGGTAAGTATAACCCATAAGGAACACATTAGATTTTTGTTCTTAAGAATTAATATGAACAGTTCTGTTGTCAGTCATAGAGTGACAATGACAGACACAGCAACACATGATGCTGAACGACCAGGATGTCAAATTACGATATATTGCTGTCGATGATAACACTAATGATATTGATGATTTGACTAAATAATTTTCTACAAGGTTCATAGTTATATGAATATCACACTTAAAAATACAAAAAAAAAAAAAAAATAATAATAAAATCCCCTCAAATAAGACTGGTTTCTCAAACGCCTCCCTCCCCCCCTCCCCTCCTCCCCCTCTCTCTCCCATACCCCCATCCAACCAACCCCTAAAATACGAATAAATAAATATAAAAAAAATAAGCCAGTAAAACATTCCAATAGCGCTTGTATAACAGAAAAAAGACAAGAAAGTAAGAAAATCATAGCCAGGTAGATAAAGAAAAAGAAAGCAAAAACAAAGAAAAGCGAAAAGAAAATAAAAAAAAACCAAAGAACAGCAAAGAAAAATAGAAAAGATAAAGAAAGAGAGAGAGAAAAAGAAAAAGAGAAAAACACCAGTGGCTTCGCAGGTGAGCTTAGTCAACCAAGACGACCTCCTCAGGAAAGAAAATATGAAAGAGAAAGCACCAGGTGGCAACGAGAGAGAGAGAGGGGGAGGGGGGGGGGGAAGAAACGAATGAGGGGAGGAGGATAGGGAGGGAGGGGGGGTTAAGACGAAGAGGCAAAGAAAGAGGAAGAGGAAAAAAAAGAAGAAGAGAGAGGGAGACAAGAAAAGAAGAGAGAAACAGAGAAGGGGAAGAAGAAAAAGGAGAGAGAGAGAGAGAGAGAGAGAAGAGAGAGAAGAGAGAGAGAGAGAGAGAGAGAGAGAGAGAGAGAGAGAGAGAGAGAGAGAGAGAGAGAGAAAAGAAGAAGTAAGAGACAACAGAAAAAAAGAAACAAGCAAACACAAAAACAAAAAGCCCCGTCAGAAGAATAAGGCGACGAAAAGAAAAAAGAAAAAACAAAAAAACCACTCGACAGAAAGAAGAGAGACGAAGAGAGAAGCTCCTGTCGGGCGTCGGGACGGGCGTGGGTCCGGCGGGAGGAGGGCGGGTTGGCCGGGAGACGCTCGCCCGGGAAGCTCAAGAGTGACCCGCCATCGCCGACCTGCGTCCCGCCGTGGCACAGGACGCCCGCGCCCGCCCACCCGGCTCTCTAGAGGCTCGCCCACAACGCTCTCCTGTCTCTCTCTCTTTCTCTCTCTCTTTCTCTCTCTCTCTCTCTCTCTCTCTCTCTCTCTCTCTCTCTCTCCTCTCTCTCTCTATATATATATATATATATATATATATATATATATATTATATAAACACATCTATACATACATATGTGTATATATATACATACATACACATGTATACACACACACATATGTATTTACACATATGCATATATATGAATATACACGTACATACGCATATTAATATATATAAATATACATGTACGTATGCAGGTGTGTACGTATACCCCCCATCCTTTTCACCCCTCTTCACACCCTCCCCTCCCTCCCCCCTCACCCCCCCTCCCCTCCCCCTCCCTCCCGCCCTCACCCCCTCCCCTCCTCCCACTCCCCCACCCCCACCTCCCCACCTCCTTCCCCACCTCCTACCTCCCCCCCACCCCACCCACCCCCCGAGGACGCCGTTGCATGGCCGGCCGCCTCTCGCCCCGATACCGGAGTCCTTTGCCCGCCCGCCACCTTTTCCCGGGATTCACGCCCGTGATCTCCCCGCATAACGCCGCGCCCTCGCCGATCGCTGCATGTTTTTCCCGCTTCTCGACCGGTGCATTTCGTCCTCCTTTTTTCTTCTCCTCTTCCCCTCCCCTGCTTCCCTGCTTCCTCCCTCCCTCTTCCTTCGTTTCGTTTTTTCTTTTCTTTTTCTTTTTCTCACTTACTCTCTTTCTCTCCCTCTCGTTTCTTACCTCCTTTTCTCTCTCTCTGTTCGTCTCTCTCCTCGGTCTCTCTCTCTCTCTCTCTCTCTCTCTCTCTCTCTCTTCTCTCTCTCTCTCTCTCTCTCTCTCTCTCTCTCTCTCTCTTTCCTCAGTCCTATGCAGCCTCAAAAGTCAGATTTGCCGATATGTGTACGTGCAAATGAGAGAGATAGAGAGAGAGAGAGAGAGAGAGAGAGAGAGAGAGAGAGAGAGAGAGAGAGAGAGAGAGAGAGAGAGAGAGAGAGAGAGAGAGAGAGAGAGATGTGACAAAAGAAAAAAAAGAGGAGGGAGAGAGAGGAGCAAACAACCAGACAACCAGAACAGACAATGACGAAATAAAAAAATAAATAAAAGAAAGACGCAAAACGACAAACAGAAAGACAGGAAAAACGAGAAAGAGAAGAGAAAGAGACGAGAAGGACGAGGCTAACAAAGGGGAGACCAATACCCCCCCCCCTTTCCCCCCTCCCCCAACCCTCCCCGAGTATCTGTGAGTAAGGGAGTGACACTCAGGTAAACCCAGTCACTCAGCAGGAGAGGGGAAGGGGCGGGGAGGGGAAGGAGGAGGGGAGGAGAGAATGAGGGGAAGGGGGGAAGAGGAGGGAAGGAAGGGGGAGGGGAGAGTGAGGGGAAGGATTGGGGGGAAATGTGAGGAAATGGGGAATAGGAACGAGAGAATGATGAGAGAGAGAGCAGAGAGAGAGAGAGAGAGAGAGAGAGAGAGAGAGAGAGAGAGAGAGAGAGAGAGAGAGAGAGAGAGAGAGAGAAGAGAGGAGAGAGGAGAGAAAGAACCAAGAAAGAAACAAAACGAAAAGGGAAGAGAGAGAGAAAACAAGGAGCGAAAACGGAGATAGAAGAAGAGACCTGGAGAGAAAAGAGAGAGAGAGGAGAGAGAGAGGAGCGATGAAGGGGCAGAGAAAAGCCCACTTCCAGACCAGTTATCATTAGGCTCATGAATACCAAATGATTTTCAGTAAATCACTACAACGTGACTGAAAGAGAAAAATAATAGAAAGAAAAAAAAATCTTTACGTGATAAGTGTAAAACGAATTGGAATTGCACAAAAGCAATATGCATCAACAGAAAACCCCCTTCCACACCCACACACGCAGATACAGATGTGTGTATGCATCAATACATACATACATACATACATACACACATTTTTTTCAAACACCGCACGCACGCACGCACACACACACACACACACACAAACTCTCTCTCTCTCACACACCACCACACAAACACACACACAAACTCTCTCTCTCTCACACACACACACACGCACACGCACACATATGTATATACACACATTTATATGAAGAATTCTTTCCTCTTATTCCTGTATATGCAACAGATCAAAAGAAATGTAAAAAAGAGAAGAAAAAAAATGAGAAACGGAAATAAAAAGAAAGAGCAGATAAAAAGTCCAAAGAGGAAATGAAAAGAAAATATAAAACTATTCTCCCCTTCCCTTCTCTCCGTAACTTTCTCCCACCTTTCTCTCTCTCCTCTTTTCTTCCCTTCCTTCCTCCCTCCCCGTCTTTATCATTCTCTCTCTCATTCTCTCTCTCTCTCTCTCTCTCTCTCTCTCTCTCTCTCTCTCTCTCTCTCTCTCTCTCTCTCTCTCTCTCTCTCTCTCTCTCTCTCTCTCTCTCACTCTCTCCTCTCTCTCTCTCTCTCTTCTCTTAATTCTTTCCTTCTCTCTCTTCCCTCTCTCTTTCCTCCTCCGCCCTTACATACGCACAATCCAAGCGCGGAAAATGAGAGGCAGAGGGGAGGGGAAAGTGGAGAGGGAGAGGGGGAGGGAGGGGAAGGAGAGAAAGAAAGAGAAAGAAAGGGAGAGAAGAGAGAAAGAGAGAAAAGAGAGAGAGAGAGAGAGAGAGAGAGAGAGGAGAAGAGGGAGAGAGAGAGAGAGAAGAGAGAGAGAAGAGAGAGAGAGAGAGAGAGAGAGAAGAGAGAGAAGAGTAGAGAGAGTAATAGGCATAGAAAGGGGGGAGGGGGAAGGGATTACTAAACACCCTTTTAGTGTGACGGACCCAAGCGAGAAAGATGCAGAGGGAGAGAGGGAGAGTGATAGAGGAGGAGGGAGGGAAGGAGGGAGGAGGGAGAAGGAGGGATCGGGGAAGGAGGGAGGGGAGAGGGAAGAGTGAAGGTGAAGGAGGAGGGGAGAGAGAGGGAGAGTGATGGGAAAGGAGGTAGAGGAAAGGGGGAGAAGAGAGGGGGGAAGAGGGGGGGAGAGGGAGGGGGAGAGTGGATACGACGGACCCAAGAGGCGAAGGTAGACTGTATGAAGAAGTGTATCATTGG